AGTTGCTTGTTGATTGCATGAGAAGATACGAACAGTCTCAAACTTGAAGTCCGTGGGGCCTTTCTATGAACTCTATGCATTTAGTTCGTTTCCATAGATTTGCTAGTTGAGTTGCCAGTCTAGCAGCGTGATTTTCTTCTCTGAAACCAGTTTTGAGATTTTGGGCTGTTGTGTTTTGGGATCGTTGTCTGCTGAAATGTCACCCTCGTCTTCATCATTCAGTGCCTGGCTGTAATGGCAGCCATGGATTTTTATCAAGGAAGATGCTTCGGGGTACAATTTTTCCTCATTCATCCTTCCGTCAATTATATAAGTTGGGTTACCAGCTGTATGCCTGAAAAACAGCCCCCCACCCCCCCCCCCCCGATAATGTCCCACCTTCAAAACTTTCAGCTGTGTATGGTGTTTTTTCAGTTGGACTGAACCACAGCTGATGCACCTGACAATGGCAGATTGCTTTCTAATCACTGCATTAGAATTTCAGCTGTCTCTTGGCCTTCCATGCCTTTTTGCACCTCCCTTTCGTCATGTGTTCAATACTTTTTCCCTGTGTCATTTCACATTATTACACATAACTTAATTTATGGACATCTATGGTCTTTGCATGTGTGGATTGCATGGGTTGTTACCGACATCTGGTGAAAATTTCATGTCAATAGCACCTTTAGAAATATATTTACTGAGAAAAATGGTGACGTGTTCAATACTTATTTTACCCGCTGTAAGTATGCAAATATTTTCCATTTTAAAATGTTAACTACTGGACAAAAAAATGTCTCATACTTAACTAACAAGTCCATCAGTATACATATATGTGCAGTTTATGTTTCAGGTTTGCACAGAAGCCCTTTGCATATTCAACCACAATTGGCTTTCAAACTGTGATGTCTCAAAACCATGCTCATCTTAAACTCATATTTAAAAGGTGAAACTTTTATCCTTCAGCAGATGAATGTGAAAGCCTCTAGTGTCATACATACATCATTCTGTACATTAAAGCCAGAGATATACTTGCCACAAGTTTGCGTTAGGACATGCACAGCCCTACTCCAAAGGGATGCAGGATACAGAGCCACCATGCACACATAAATGCCTTGTTAAAAGCATACATCCAGCCTAAAGGTCAAACATCAAAATGAAGTAACAATAAGCTAGACACATTTTTGGGTGAGGGGAGACTTCATAATATTCTTTAGTTACATTTGAACATTTACTGTGCCCTCACTTACTGTTTATCTCATCTCAACACCTGAGAATGTAAAATGAAGACACAGTTACAAAGCACCTTTTAATTAAGGCTTTGAACAAAAATGACAATATTCAGCTTAAGATTGTACAAATGATGGGTATTAAAATGTTTTCAACAGCATATAAAGTCTGATTTTTCCCCCATTTTCCCATATCAGTAAAAGAATATATGGAGATGTATCTCAAATATTAATGAAGTACAAACATTTGTCATGGCCCAATATTTTAACACAAACATCAAGCACAGGATAATGACATGTCTGTTCACAAAGGGACCCAATAATCCTCCCTTACAGTCTGAAAAGGTCCTCACTGTTACACACAAGCATACACATGAACCTTTTAAATAAAAATCATCAAGATCCATCACGCATACAAAACTGGTAAAAAAAATAAAACCAAAAAAAATGGAGAAAATCCATTCAAGTTCTACAAAGAGAGGCCATGCCCATATGAGTCCAACAGGCCAGCCACTCTTATACAACGCAGCCCTTTTACTTGTGTAGCAGAAGACTGGAATGGGACCGCCACACGAGACCACCACTGTCAGATCATCTCCCACCTACAAGTAAACAACAAAAAAATGAGTAGGGTCACACCATGAAAGACGACTTAAAATGCGTAGAGCTCTGAAAAAGGACCAACCTCTGAATCCACGTCCGCCGCCGCCTCCCCTTCCTCCTCTGAAGCCTCCACCGCGCCCACCGCCAAACCCTCCGCCGCGGCCGCCTCCAAATCCTCCGCCGCGCCCACCTCCAAATCCACCGCGGCCGCCTCCACCCCTGCCACCTCGAAAACCGCCTGAAACAGAAGCACAGAATTAATCATTTCCATTTTTAAAATTCACCGCAGCCAACACTGACGGATAATTTTAAATTGAGATCTGGTTGAGTGTCATGAGCTACACATTCATCCTCAACAGGAGACAGGTTTAATAAAAATGAGGATGTTTGGATGCCTGACCTCCACGACCACCTCCTCTTCCTCCACCTCGGCCTCTTGGCGGACCCTTCTCTCCTGGCGGCCTGGGAAGGAATCTCTGCAGCGGGAGGAGCTTCATTGGATCTATATAAAACTAAAAGAGACATTGTAAATTACATTCGGTGCAGTGCACAGATGTACTGAAATTCTATCAAGAATGAAAACGCTCCACTTTCAAATATAATATTTTTTATACCTTCTGTAGTTTCTTAAACGAGGACGCCTTCATATTGTCGGAAAGTTTGACTGAAAAATACTGTATGCATTGGTTAAGGAAAATACGCAATCAACAGTTGAACTTTTTCTTCCACCACAGGTTGTTTCGGAGGTCCACAGACAGAATGAAGACAAAAGAAAAGGATACAAAGTCCCGGAGCTGGCCGAATATCTCATCCACCTTCCCGATCTGCTCCTTGTTTTCCAAGTACACTGGGGCATTGAAGTAGGGCACTTTGTTTTCCTCTGTCGTACACTTGCACACAATGTCATCTTCACATGGATGCACAAACTCTCCCAGTGCTGCAGAGTAAAAACACAAAGAACCACAGTTAGTCACGTGAAAGGTGCTCCAGCCATCACGGCAAAAACCTAGATCCAATAGTTCGCAACTCTGCTCAAGGAAATATCCCATAGCTCTCTGGCAGCAATGTAAGCTTCTGCAACACATTCACAGCATTACAGGGTTGTGCTTTAACGATCTTACCAACAACATATTCTGGAGGACCGTAGTCTTGTTGCCTATTAAAGCCACCTCTGCCCCCGCCCCGTCCAAATCCTCCACCACCTCTGCCTCCACCGAATCCTCCACCACCTCTGCCGCCGCCTCCTCCTCGGTTAAATCCTCCACCTCTTCCCCCACCTCGTCCACCTCCTCCTCGGAAAGACATTTTCTTCAAGTATTCTGCGAGAAACACGAAAACACGAGAGTAAATTAGTCCGAATATAACACAACGCAGGTGAATCGGTGGTTGGTTCGTTGAAGCACGGAGCTAACACCGTGGATTCAGCAGCAGGGACTTACACAAGCTCCAGCTAACACGCTAACTCAGTTCAGTCATTCAAACTACACAGTTCATCCGCATTTTCTACCACAAACCAATACTTTACCTATTCGCAGCAGAATATAAACACGGGAAAGTCTTTAACACTTTGTACACACAGTTGAAGCCCATTACTCACATTTTAGCTCGGCTAGCTGCTGCTATTTACTCCGAGACTGCCATGCGATGACAACACGTGTGACCAAAGGCTGCCGTAAAGGTATTCACCAGTGTCGGCAACTGTCGTAAAGTCACTCGTCCGCCGTGTCTTTTAAAGAAACAGACAGCCGGCTGACTCATCATGACATAGATAACAGACACGGTCAGTGTGACTCCATTGTAATATATTATTATCATCTCTATCTGTCTGTGTGACTTGGTGATGTTCGCTGTTGTTTCATATTGAAATATCATTAGGGTAATATTGTTATTTGGTTCAAATGCAGGGAATTTAATTAACGTAAAAACCAGTCAACAATGACAACAGCAGGTCAGGTAAGAAAAAAAAAACTTTATCTACGATATATTTACTGTTTGTTTAATCACTGTTTGTTTAGTAGTTTAATCTGAGGTTGTTGTTATTTTGGAGTATGTGCATGTTAACAGTGACGCCAAAATGTAGTCCCAACTGTGTGCCTCTCATGTAAATAGGGGCCTCACCCAGACACAACTTTTCCACTTCAAGTGGCTTGACGGGCTTAAAAACGCCATGTCACTGACAACCGAGCACTTTCTCTTTTACACTGTTTGTCTTTCAGGTGATCAACTGCAAGGCAGCTGTTGCGTGGGAGCCTGGGAAGCCCCTTATAATTGAGGACGTAGAGGTGGCCCCACCCAAGATCCACGAAGTCCGCATCAAGGTCAGCTGCTCATCCCGAGGTCGTCTGAAATGCAATACAATGATGATATCATTATTTCCATGTTTGGTTGTAAATGTAGGCACTTGCAGAGCTACACAGTAAACATCCCGTTGTTAACAGCTGTTCTCAGTTGTAGGATAATTTGGAGCTATCAAAAGCAATAAACTAATAGGAACTAATAACATAATGTTGATAAATAAATAACCAAAACCTAGAACAAGACCTTACACAAGGGGATGTTACTAGTACACACATGCTGATTGTGATACTGATACAACACATGACTTCCTCTGAGTTTGTTTCCTGTTGATATAGTGCACACCAACCCACTTCACTGTCTGAAGCTGTCACGTGAATCAGCACCCAATGTTTATTTGTACAGATCATCGCCACAGGGGTGTCCCACACAGACAATGAATACCTGTTTGAGACTGGAAAAGGAATGAAGTTCAGACCATTCCCATTGGTCCTCGGCCATGAAGCAGCTGGGATAGTGGAGAGCGTTGGTCCAGAAGTCACCAATTTCTTACCGGGTAAACTGCACAGCTCAAGCTCACAACCAACAACATGACATTTGGTTTGAATTCCTCTTTTTTTAGGTTTCTTTTTTTTTGTTGTTGTCTTCACAGGCGACAAAGTTATCCCCTTTTTTCTGCCACAGTAAGACAAATCACTGCAGGAGGAACTGGTGGTTTCATTATCGCATGTTTATACACACACACACACAC